CATTACACGTTTCGCTAAAAATGTTATCCATTACAACTGCTTCAAAATATTTGCTGATTTTATGAACATACAATTCATCGTGAAAAAAACTGCTTATCTTCACTTTAAAACCTTTCCCCATTAGATCTGAACTGTACTGTTCACTTCAAAAGCACAGTGTTATTTGTTGTTGTCTTTTAATTTTGCTTTATTTCAAGTACAGCTGTAGGGGAGCCTATCTGATACGTTGCAAGCGCACTGAGAAGAGTTGCTACTCGGAACTTCAAGCACAGTAAATTGGGGTCTCAGCCATGTCTTTGCCCACACAGATTTGTTCCCAGCAGACATTTATCTCATTCTCAGATCAGTACAAGCCTGTTTTCCTTGACGAGAATTGATCTTGTTCACACTGTGAGTCACAGGAAAGAAAAAAATGAAGACCGACTTCGAGCAGCGTGCTGGGTTAAGATACGTGCCCCTGCACACCTCCACATTTTGGACTCACAATAATAATCCGTGTGTTTATATAGCAGGTGTGCCTGTTACAACGTTGGAAAAATTCTCCAGAAAGGAAACCATAACTGCCACGAAACATTACAAAACCGTGGCAGTATTTAAAACTTCCACACTGTTGTGGAAACCTGGAAAACAATTAAAGGTGTCTGGCTATTGTAAAAAAAATGAAGCTTTTTCAAGCTTGCGAACAAAACTTGGTTTTTGCATATGCTGTTAAACTATTGAAAACACATGAAAGTACGGTTCACTGGCTTCGAATCTTTCCTGTCAATCTTTAACTGTTCCAGTATAACAAGAGGATACTAAAAAGACTACAATTTGATGCTGTCTGTGCTATCACAAAGATTGTTCTGTGATTCGTTTGAATTCCAATATTCCACAGCAATAAGACAGTGTAGAGCTCCAGACAAAATTTTCCGAGCCTCCATTCCATTTCCTCTGATGAATACGTGGCAGTGAGTTTAAGCTATGAGATCTGAGGATGGAAATGCAAAAAGCAAATCAATGATGCTGCGCCAGGTCTGAGTGCTGAGGCCCAAGAGATAAGCACCACAGTCTCTCTGCTCTTTTTATAGCAAAGATGCCCACGTTTGTTTGTGCTTCTGACCCCATTAATGCTTCTTAATTACTCAGATTTGTGTATTAAATTAACATAATTTGAACTCAAGTACAAAAATGTTACAAGACAATTCTGAGGTTGTTTCAGGCTTTCTTTTACTAAATAACACATCTAAGGTATTTGCCAGACTTGTAATATGTTGCATGATGCTCCTTGATCAAGCTTAAGATAGTAGGTCTGACAAGGAAAGGGTACTGGTGCACCATCAATATCCTGATGTTGGATTTTTTTTTTCCAAACATACAGTGAGTTGGGTCTAGCATCCACATCCATAATGGCTCAGCAACTGCACGCAGTTTGAAATTTTTAAAAATTCTTGAATGACATAAAACACAAAAAACATCAGGACTCCGGTCTGCAAATAAGTCGATTACGACACCAATGAAAACAGAAGAGCATCTGCTGCTGTACGATATTTATAAAAATAGACTCATCAAAGTGCATTCTACTATGTAGGACAAAGCAGCAGGCCAGATGACACTTCTCTGCTCTTTACACTACTGAAAAGCCCTCCTGTAATTTCAGAAATGAAGCCCTCGGTACACACTGTTCCTGATGCTCACCGCACTAATGTTGGATAAAAAGGAAGAAATTGCTAACTAATTTCTCAAGTGTTGTCTCTCTGTTCCTCTGCTACCCCATACCCATAGAAGTATAATTTGATGGAAATAATCTGCATACATATGTATGCTTTCTGTGTTTTACATATAGGTCCATGTCCTGTGTTATCATATTGTGTCTTGACACGTTTAAACAACTCTTTAAACTTTTAATACAAAATGTGTTGCAAACTTTAACAGTATGTATAATATACACACATGATTTTGTCCTGGTATTACTGTTCTTTTGTTAATTTAATATCATTGTGTGTTTTATGAAATTTGTTTTTTTTGTTACTGATTTCTCTCTCATTTTTCAGAGACATGCGCATATATCACAGAGATCTTTTACAAACAGCTGGCGAAATGAAGCCTTCTCCTTTAGCACAATCTGTTCATAAAATTAAATAAATTTTGTCAAACTTAGCAAATTCTTCATAATTTTCAACAACAGTAATAAAGTTATTTAAAATCCAAATGAAGACTCTGTTACTCCTATAAATCTTAATTAATTGAATCGGCAATTACTTTTAATGTATCACACATAAAATTCCTCATCCTATCTTCAAATAAACAGCTCCCTGGAGTATTCTACTGCTAAAGACAGGACCTTAAAAATATATTTTTTGCTCTTAGTTACAATATTTTTAGTTGCATTAACAGTCCTGCACAGACCTAGTGTAGAAATGGCTGGACAACGCCTTTTCTGGTAATATCTAACAGAGCTGTATATTGACATTTCTGGCAAGATACCCTTTTAAAGACAAATTTAATGGAAAATATTTTTGATGATGCAAAAGCATAGATCAAATGCAGTATTTTAATTTTCTTATTGATTTGCAATGTATGTGGTTTATTGGTGGTAGACTAACACTATATTTGTTGTCAAATGGCTCAGTGATTTTTTTTTAATATTGAAAATTAAATCTATACTATTTAAGCGCATTGCAAAATAAAATGTTTCCCATGTCTGATAATGTAAGAATGACCATAACATTTTCTCCCTTCACGATAATTAGCATGCCTGTGCCTGGTGCTGAAATCTTTTTACACTGACCAGAGACGAACCTGCATTAATGTTGGTGCACTGTCAATTTCCTTTAGCAAAGAAATATCATGAATTTTAAAAACGAGCGTTGCTCTATTTCAAATAGTTCTTAATTCCTAACAGAACCTGCAGAGACAGATTTATCTTCTTTTCCCTGCAAAGCTTTGTACTCCTGCCTCCCTAAGACCTGCTAACTCCATTTGAAGGAGACTTGCGTGGGCTGAATTTATATCAACCGAAAAGAGCTCAGTACTGACCAATTAGAGGTCGCCCATGCTAGTCTTTTGACGGAACTCCTAATTAGAGGGCTCACTAAGGGCGCGTTAGAAAAAGCCTTTGTACCGAAAATGCACAATTAGCTTTGGAGCACAGCATCGTGCTTTTGTGAAATTCAGATCTCAAACGTAGACCCGATTGTCTGTCTTTGGCTGAAGAGCTTTAATGGTTTTGATCGGTGCTTATTGATGTGTTTCTTTGAATTCTGTATCTTCGAATAAGTCGAAAATTCCCCCCAAATAAATAATATGTCAAACACGCTGGCTAGATTACAGAAATCCACTTGCATAATAGTTTGTTTATGAAAGTACTGATTCAGGTTTTTTTTTGTTCAAATAAAATCTATATATTCTGGTATCTAATGGTTGAAGATGTCTCTTCTTTTCAGAAAATCTTACCACAGGTCTTTACTGCTATGCATAAAAATATTTACACGGACGCACCTACGATTATGTATATGGCAACCATTGAGCCCAAAAGAATACGGTTTACCGTCGGGCAATAATTCAGTCCGACGTTGAACTGCCATTCCAGTTTAACTGCCACTTTTGAGTCGTTGATTGTTCTCGTGTGACCTCCTGCTCATCATGTGCCTGTTCCCTAAATTAATATAGACGTTGGTTTTAAAAAAGAACACAGACTGTCTGTCTTGTCTTAACTCATTTCTGAAAAAAATGTCAGTGCTTTCCATAACTTCCAAACCACAATTTATTTAAAATTTGTTATTTAACTTTCACCTTCAGGTAGCTCTTGCAATTTTAATTGAGCTGCCAATATGAGTTTGGAAGAATAAAATCGGTACCATTTTCTGCGACTATATCTCAGCAGAAATAAGATCAAGTTAAAAAGAAAAGATTCCCCACTCAGTTATAAACATATCTGGTTTCGGTTTTCATTTCAGCCGTATAGAATATAGTCAGTTCAATTGAGATATTTGAATAATCTAAAGGGGTGCGCTGTTCCTAATTTGTATTAACAAGAAGGGAAAATAAAAATGTTAGAATTTCGGAAATGCTCTCCTCTGTTGTTTACAAGACTTGATTATTGATTTCCCAAAGGACCAGGCGCTACAGAACTTCACTAAAGCAAATAAACTCGAGACAGACCAGAGCCTGCTACCCAGGTCTCCTCCGCGGCTTGAACTTTGTAGCAAACTCGGTTTGGGAAGGTCAGCGTAAAATCACTATTATAAAGAAAAAATGTCAAAATACAAATGTTAACCGCAAGGATAAACCTCGCTTTCCACAATGGTAAAAACAATTCTTCAGTGGTAAGCGTTACAATATACAGTAATCAGTTTTGAAACAAAACATCGAGTCAGTGGCATGTCAACAGGGGAAACTAAAAAATTAAATGTAAAATGTGATAATAAATCTCTCAATGCACTTAGACAAATGCACAATTCGGCGTTAAAGGTTAACAGTTTGTGTTAATATAAACACGCATGGTGTAAATTTTAACAACTGGGGGCTGTCTTTTATGAAGCCATTTAAAAATAATGTGCATTGGGTAATGGTTTCTTCGGGTGAGTGAATGATTTATGTAGTAAGATACTTCCTGTGTTAAAGGATTAAGATGAGATGAATTTAGAATAATATGCAGTATTTGGTGTCCGACCACGGAAACCAAGGTTTCTATCGACACGACTTCCAATTAGTACGAGCGCACCTTGAGGAATTGACTTATTCTCTCAAAACGCTGTGATCCAATAAACCCCGTCTTAATAACTTAGCATTCACTGAAACAACAGAACCGAAAACAAAAGCTTAAGAGAGCGAACAGATTTCTGCTCAAGAGGGGAAAATGTTAGGTGGCCTTTGTAAGTTCACCGTGACACTGTCGTATTTGTAACATTTCATCTAAAACCCCGGACAATAACGCGCGCACTGTGCACTTTAGGAATACATTTGTTCATCGCTACGAATTTGTGTGCGATTACGATTATGCGCGAAGTCTTGTTTACCTTCAAGATGTTAGGGTGTTGCAGTCTCTGCAGCAGAGTCATCTCCTTGATAATTTTGTAGGACGCCAATCGGTAACAGTTCCCGGGCGAGGCGTATTTCTTCACGCAGTTTTCCATGTCGTGCCCCCCGAAATCTACGGATTTCAAAGCCACGGAAAAGCTTTCGTTCAGGGCCACCTTGTAGACGGCTTTGGTATAGCCCGAACCCAGATACTGCACGTTTGTTGCACTGTCTATGCTGCTGCAGCCCAGCATCTGTCGACTGTTAACACTGTTCATTTTCAGGTCGAAATCAACCTGGGTTCTCGCGTATAAGGATGCTGAGGATGAAGAGCCGCGGTGGTGCGGTTCCGTGTATCTGTTATTCAGTCTTTCCGTTGCTCGGCTTTGCTCCGAAGAGCTGCGCGGCGCCAGGTCCATCAACCGCCGTCTTTCCAGAGTGCGAACGGGGTTCCCCGACCCCGGCGGCGGTGGCCAGTTCTGGCGGTACCGAAGAACCTCGTCGTACCTCTCCTGGATCTGCTGCAGGAGATCGCGGTGCTGGCTGCTAGCCGTGGGCTCTCTATTCATATAGGCACCAGGCGGAGCAGCGGGGTCCCTCAAATTAAGATCCCTGCTTCCCGCGACGTGCTGCTGCTCCTGGTAGTAGCGCTGCACTCTGTTGCTGTTGTTCCGATGGCGATCGAACCCCGGGATAAAGAGCAGATTCATCAGGGTGCCCAGAAAAAAGGAGAAACAAAACCCAGCCGCCACAGCAATCTTCCTCCGCTTCATTGTGATCGGCTTTATTTTCAGCAGCCGTATTCTTTTCTGTCCGTTTCTATTCCCCCCACGCCTTCCACCTCTGTAGCTGCAGCAGATGTTCAGTTGTGCAATCAAAAGGGTTGATTTTGACAGCTCTGAGGTATCCCGATGGTGCGAAGGATGCAGAATGCGCGCAGCTCAGGTCTTCATTTTGTATTTGTGTGTGAAGAAGTCGCGCAGGTCCAGGATCCACCCCATATAAGGCTGATCATTATGACACTTGCCTCCGATGCCTGACTGCACACTCCGCTACTACTGCTATAGAATAGGCGCATTAGCCAAGGTCCGGTCTTTCAGAGAAAGCCCTTGAGCGACTGAGCACGGGTGACGTCAGTTGATCTACAGCTCAGGGTTTCTCTCACAGCCTCTGCGCCGCCCTGGACGCTGTAGTTCTTTCGCGGCAAGCCTCGCACACGCGAGCGCAGAAGCGCGGGCGAGAAAAGACCACAACTCCCGGAGTGCAAGGAGGCGCGGCGGCTTGCGCGGTGCTCGCCAACCAGCAGCGGCAGGGCGGGTCTCGGAGGGGTTGTGTAGTCCTGGCAGCCTCAAATCCTGCTGGCACGCGCAAGGTGTGAGCTGGAGCTGCGGCGGGGCGCGGGGACGGTGCTCGCGCCGTTGTCAGGCTCTCCTGCGGGCTGTTGGGTCGAGCGCGTTTATTAGCCAGACGCACATTTTATAGACATTTACTCTCTGCGGTTGCGAGTGTTGCGAATCCCTTCTCATCTGTCAGAATTGCAGGAATGAGAACGTTAAGGGTTGCGAGCAAATGAATTCTGTACACGGCCAGTGCAGTATGCACCAAAATAAAATCTACCGTTACTGTGAATAAAACAGACGTTGTAATTTTACAGTGCATTTATATGTTGAGAGGTTTCTTTTCGTTTGTTACAGTAATACCCTTTGTTAACGTATTAAAATTGTTGTATACATTTTCCTGAAATTATGGTTTCTGTTAAAAATGGAATTGAGTATTTTGTGGGTTTTTTAAGGAAAAGTGTTCGAATAATAGTCCGTTATGTCTTTATAGAAGTATAATTTCAACGAAACTCGCAGTGCAACTGTTTTTCACCACACTGGTATTCTGCCACAGGAACACCTCTATTTGATATAATTTTATTATATTGTATCTCATCCTTTTATATGAAACGAGTTAAAACGCAGTTCTCTTCAGAGTTAAGGACTTTTCGATCAATTATGTAAAACATGATCGCAATGGTGAGAAGAGTTGGTTCTTAACGTTTCAGTATGTTTCAGACATCTTTCTCAAAGATGACTAGCAGATAACTTGTACTGAACGAGTTCAAGCGTTCATATTATATGAATTCAAACAATCTGTGTTCCCATTACAGTCTTTTTTGCTGTCACTACAGCAAGGATTGAACGAAATAAATGATCCATATATTTCTGTCACGCATGCTGATTTATGCCTATTTTTAAATACGGAATAATATCTGTCATATTTACTTCTTACAGGGTAAATGGCCTCCCCGTTCAATAGCTAAACCACAAATCACGTCCGCGACACGGGGAGCCCCTTTGCCTGCTCGAGTTGTGAATTGTGGAGCTAAATGCCAATGACATGGCTATCCATCAAATCCACATTACCATGCTGTTAGCAGCTAATTAACAAATACAATCAACCTGAAAACTCTACAAACAGACCTGGGACAGCGGGAGGCAGTAATGAAGAGAAGCTTGGAGCGAAAGGGAAGTATTTATACAAGGGCACGAACTCATACTTGCTAAACAGTGATGATTAGGCGTGGGGTAATTTAGTGAAATAAACATTAAAGTGCAAGAGTTAAAACCAATAGAAACGTGAATACACATCCTTTAATGCTATATATAGGCTATGAAATACATTTCAATTAATCAGAATTCAAATTTTTTCACTCTCTGCGTTTACAATTCCTACTACAAAAAACACATTTTAATCCACAGGAAGAAACCAATTTTATTCATTCAGATGTAAGGTTCTCTGCGTCAGTTTCTGTTCAGTTAAGGTATGTGATTATGTAATCTGCTGCATTTTACATATTATTATGCATATTGTCCTATAATGTCACCCTTGATTTGGATACTAAGTAAATGGGTATAACCAAATATAAGCTATATTCTTCAGTTCAAAAAATAGTTTTCTTCAAGAAATCACAGACCGTACATTATCTTACTTTTGAAACTGTGGTTTTTGCTTTTCTTTTTTTGGAAAGTGCACGCAAGGAAAATAACCTACAGTTAATTTTGGAGATCGACTTAAAACCGACCTGTAAAAATTATGTGGAACCGATGAATCGCAGATTGCGAGAGACAAGCGGTTTCCCAGCTCAAGGAAGCAGTTTAGCAAACTGGGACTGTCATAATGCTGTCCACAAATAATTAAAATGACGCTACAGATTCCTAAAAACTTAATATAGCCCTAACGGGTTACTAAACACCGGCTGAGACACGGGCTGCAGGTCCTAGCACATTGTTCTCATAGTTGGAAGGACTCCTGTCACTTTAAGTCTTGCTTTATTGCTTCTTAAATACCCTAGTCAGCAGAATGATTTTGAGAAAGTTTTGAGAACAGGACAGGCGCGGTAATGCCGAGAAGGATGGAGCTCCATCTTCCGGGCGTTAGGATTTCTGAGCAATATCCAGTATCGTACCAAACTATTTTGCTAAATTAAATAGACTTTTACCCCACCCCTAACGTCTATAGAAACTAACGTTTAGAACAGGGGTCTCCGGCTCTGTTAGTGGAGGGCCTAATTTCATTCGGTTTTATACATGCTTGTAATAAAATTTTAGTAACCATCTGTAAAATAGCTTAACGAAATCCTTAGTCTAAGGACATAATGAGGTAAATTGCTTAATTCACAGTTAATGTTGGATTAAACATCCGAAGACCACAGGGCCCCGAGTTTGAAACCACTGATTTATACGAAGATGAAAAATTAGAATTTGTATGACGGATTCTAACATAACAGCATAAAATCTTAAACTCCCAAACTTGCAAATATAAGAGATTGGGTTGGGGTTATAATAACCAGTAATTTACAATGCAAACCACCAAAGCAGTTTTCCGTGAGTGTTATGTTAAGTGTCTGGTTTACATTATAATGGATAATGAGATCTCTCAGGAGCATCGTTTATTCTGTATGCTTATTGTAATGGTTATTTAAGACATTTCCCAAACAAGGAAACAAGAATTGCTGTGGCGGCAGCCTTCGTACAATTATACATCAGTCCAGAAACAGAAATACGGTTTAATAATGTCGTCAAAATCATCTCCATAAAAATTTCAACGTTTACAACCAGTCCTTCTCGATATTTACTTACAGTGCGATGTTTGTCCATATTAAAAACAGTTTATCATGAAATCGCTTTCTCTAAAAGGAATAAAATAAAGAGGAAATTAAATATATCTATTTCATGTGCTGTATACGGGCACGCCACTGTTTCTTAAATTTACAGCTAAAAGCTAGAAGCAGCTAAAAGGGCATTTGCATTGAACTGCTTCGGGTGGGTTGGACAGCCCTACTGGAGGTTTAATTAAGATTTTGGAGAGCAAATAGACATTAATCCGTGTTAAATTAGTCTCATTTTCTTGGAGATTTTAACTGACAATGGAGTAAACATGGCTTTCTTGGAACACCGCGATGGAAGAAGCTGATCTCTTTTAAAAGCACGTTTTACATCTGAATCAGACCTCCGGGGGGTGACGGGGTAAACCGGCTTGGAAGAAACCAGGGCGTTTCGGATTTTAAGGGGATTACTGCGATACAAGAGGACTGAGAGGACCGTCCTGGTGTGCATCATCCCGCTGCATCGCGCTCTGCGGGCAGCGCTGGAGTTTAATGACTTATTTAATCCTGTTATGTGGTGCACTGAAAGGCGTCCTTTCTAACTCTCATACATATTTATTAAATAGATAAGATCGACAAACGTGTGTCTTTACAGTGCATTAGGAAAGAGACCGATCAATTAGTTTAACAATATATTACCCGTGTACAGTATACCGACCGACTGGAAGGACCTCGCCTATAAATCTACTAAATCTACAGGTTCTGTGACCGAAAACATTTTTTCCCTTTAAATCTTTAGATACTTTAAATGGCCAAAACTAAAATGTGTATGTTTTTCTTTTTAATTTGAATCCCATTTGGACACGTATGATATCAAGCATTAATGTGTCAGATTTCACTAAACAATGCAATAAATACAATCATACTTGTTTCAGGTTAAATGGAATATTACCCCGTTTTGTTTAGTTCAGGGACGTCTGTCTATATACTTTGTATGAAATAGATGTGCCTGAAACAGTTTTTTTAATACTTTTGGCCCTGGATTGAGTGGAACATTGACACATTTTCAGAACTAAATCCGTTCATTGTCACAGATACTGATAAAGTTGAAACAAAATGTATCTAATGGTTACAGTTTCTTTGGTCTATACACGTGCGTATTAGAAACACTATAGTCAGCTTTTGAAGAAAGTTGTTTCACTATTTTTTAGTGAACTGATTTTTTTAAATGAATGCTGTTCTGAAAGCTTCACGTTACAGGAGAACACCCTCTCTGCTTACCCTCACAAGCACAGATAATCAATCCAGATCTGTTTCCAAACAAAGACTTTGAATTCAGAGGATGTTCTGTTAAGTGTGCACGTTGTTAACGTGACTCACTGTGACATACTGTACAGTGGAAAAAGTGCTGAGAAATTAATGGAAAACTTTGGCAACCTCTTCAATAAAGCAGATGATGAGAATTTTACAGTAAGGCAAATTATTTAAATTTTGTCCTTTGCTTAAAAGGGGGACTTTTAATTCTCCCAAAAAATATATATTTGACTATTGTACCAGACATTAACTTTTTTACCTTGAAAAACAAATGACATAATAATATAAAAAAAGATTACAAACAAGTGGAAGACTTGTAAACTTACATTTTATGTGCCTTTTGTCCACTACCATCCCCACTGTTCTGTCCCTATCCCAGATTACAGTGTAACCTGGTTCAAGTGGTTAAATTGTTTCGCTTTCTGTTTTTCCCTTTACAAAATGATATATTCCGCTTATCAACAGTACTTAGGGGTGTTGAACTGATATCCAGAAAAATCATTCTTCTAAATCTATGATTACCCTTAGGATTGGCCTAGCTTTAAATAATTATCAAAATAAATTCTCAGTGTCATAAGAAATTTAATATCTATCAATGAATCTGATCGTAATGTTCTCCTGTTACAGTTAACAACCTGTGCTCGCATCATCAGTCTCTTGCTAATCAGAAACTTAATAAGGGTCTTTTTTCCAGGCATGTGTTGGAATTTGCATTTTATAAA